AACAGGTGCCAGCTTTTCCCACACCCTAAGACTGACCTGTGCTGGCCCAAATACAGAGGTAGGAGATAGGACTGTGGATGGCTTGTGGGGAACCTGGGCCTGCACCTGGGACCCCACTGTGAGACCTTACATGAAATCAAAACCAAACCTACTATGCAGGGACATTGTCATGTCCCAAAGATGGCATGCATCCTAGCTCCAGCCTCGAGGGGTGCCCTGAGATATTTTGCATTTGGTGAAAGGTTGTACGCCCAAGCTAGATGGCAGTAGCCCCACTCTGCCGCTCTGTAAGAGGCATTAGAGACCCTATGTCATCTAATCCCTTGTTATATAAATGAAGAAAGTGAAATCAAAAAGCACTGGGCAGAGCCTTCCAGTCCAGTGTACTCTTTTATCTCCATGCACTCTTCTTCTCCATGCACCTGTCAACCAGGTGGAGGTTTGCCTGATTTCTGAGAAGCAGACTGAGGTGCTGCTGACAGCTCTTCCTTGAACCATTGGGCTAGCCAGGCAAGGCTGACCGACTCTGCCCAAGTACCATGCCCAGGGTCTGCCCTCTTCAGAGTTTTTCACCCCACTGACACTAATTAGGCATCCACTGTGTGCACTATGTTGTGCTGAGTGCTTGGCACAGAACGAACAGTGAGGCAGAACCTCAGAGGCCAGGTTCAGAGGCTTCATAGGCAGGTTGAGGCCCACGAGTTGCACTAATACATCACCAAAGGTCACACTGTTCTGAGAGTGCCAGGATCAGACCCTTCTTTTGGGGTGCCATTGTAGTGTAGTAGCTAAAGCTGCTCCCTATGACTCCAGCATTCCATATGTGCACTGTTCATGTCTCAGATGCCCCACTTCCAATCCAATGGAGGATAGCTCAAATGTTTGGGCACTTACCACTGAGATGAGAGACCTGGATGAACCTTCCAACTCCTGGCTTCAACCTGCCCAAATATTGGCTGTTGCAGTCATCAGGTGTGAGGCTGGCTGGGAGGGAGGTGAACCAGGGATGGGATCTCTCCTCTCTCTCTTTAACTTTCAGAAATAAAGATCTTCCTGCTTTCCAAATAGAAGAAGGGCACCATCCACCTGGGCTTTTCAGGACCAGACTACGCCTAATGAGGTTGTGATGTGTTTAGTGAGGCACCGTTGCATGTGAGGTACACTCTCAGAGGCTGCCCCCAAATAGGTCGCTGTCCCATGGGTCTCCAGGGACTGGGCTCTCCTGGGTTCCCATTCTGTGCCACCAGAGTCAGCCAGCAATGCCCTCTGTAAATGAATAGAGATTTTCTAATGTGAGTGAGTGGGATCCTCAAGAACAAATTTCAACCCAGATAATATCACAGCAGCCTTACCCTGTGTAAAGTGTGCACAATGATGTGTCCTGACCTTAAGCTGCATGGCACCTCCCTTCTGCTACTTCTGCCCCATGCTGTGCCTGAAGTGGGCAGAAGGCAACCAACCATGTACAAATTAGAGGTCTCCCTCCACATACAAGAGGACTTGCAGCACCTTTTCTCCAGGTCTTATGCAAAGGAAGCTTGGGAAATGCAATGGACTGGGTGTGTCACTTCAAAACCCACCTCCCCTGGAATGGTATTTGGAGGTGGGGTAATTGAGAGGGAATTGGGGCCAGATAAGACCTTGAGAATGAGTGACCATGATGGGATTGGTACCATTCTAAAATTGAGAAAAGACCAGAATGTCCCCCAACCATGACACCGATGGAGACAACCAAAATGCAGCTGACTGCAAAAGCCAACAAGAGGGTCTTCACCAGAACGTAACCAGGCTAGCACCCTGGTCTTGGTCTCCCAGATTCCAGAGCCATGGGAACCAGATCTGCTATTTAAGCCATTTAGTGTATGATCTTCTGTGGCAGGCATTGGGCCTGGCTCACCCGGATGAATCATGTCTTAAAAGCACCACTGTGATTTTGACCAGAGCCTTCTCTAGCCCCTGAAACACACCCACACGACTTGGAGCAACATGAAATGAAAACTTTACATCTGGCTCATCTCTGGAGTTGTGATGACTGTAGGAAACATCCAATCAGAAGGGACCAGTGTGCTCCTTGCATGCATCTTTTGAAGCATTGTTACAATTTCCTTATCAATTTCCCCGTACATGTTTTCTGCAAGGGGCTATAATGAAAAGGTAGTGAGGGTCAAGTTGATGTCGGCAGCAGCTTCTGTGGGGAATATCTCAGCTAACCATTCCTGCTGTGTTGCTGCCAGCTGCCAAATAGGAATTCTTATTATTCTCGAGGCAAAATGATTGGAAAGCATTGGCCTGATTTCCTGTCTTCTCCCAACTCTCCACTTTCTAGCTCCCTTCACACTTCCGTGTCTCCTACCTTCATTACAACCATGGATCAGCCATATTGGCTCAGCAAGGAAGACTCACCTCCAGGGCCAGCTGCTCCCAGGCTGCAGAGCTGGCACAGTGGCTGGCACTGTAGAGGATTTTCATAGCTTTCTCATGGCCTCTGGCAAACGGAGACACCCTTGACCATCTCAGGGTAGATGTCTAGCTTGTTTCCTATAGGACATGGCTACTGTGATTGATAAGTTAACCTGGCTTCCTGACTGTGTGTATATCCAGCTCTGGATGTGAGAGGACAGCAGGAGTGGGGAACATTTAAACGTTGGAACTGACCGGGGCTGAGAAATTTCTGTTGTCACTAACCTGAGCAACAGAAAGGAAAAGAAGTCTGTTTGCTTTCCTCTAGGGCATGGTGGCAGAACTGAAACAGATTAGACACTCTGTTTGAGGAAGACATGGAAAGGGAGAGGTCCCAGGCAAAGGGGAGATGGGAAGAGGGAGATGCCAAGAGGTGGAGTGACAGCTGTTATAGGTGTCACTGGTGTTGGACTGATTAGGGATGGTCTCAGATATAGGAATAATAGATAAGCTCAGGGCTGCCCAGCATGGGTTCAACATCTGTAAAATGAGAGCAAGATGTTTTTATGATTATTAAGTGCAATAGTGGGACCTGGGAGCAGGTGTTGAGTAAATTTGTGACAAGTCATCATAATTGCTAAAGAGGTTCATTACCAGCCCAGCTGCCCCAATGGCTTAGCTCCATTGGGTTCATTGCAGGGCTGCCCAGCCCAGGCCAACACCCACAAGCACTGGGGCTTGATTGAAAACAGAGCATCTGAGAGGCTGTCGTGTCTTCAAAAGCAAGCATTGGGGTGGAAGTTTAGGGCCAGACCAAAACCCTAGTCTGCCCTTGGCAGCTGTGGACCAGCCTACCTCCCTGGGTAGGCCTTTTCTCTTCTACTCCTGCCCCCTCCATAGTCCCTTGGGCTTCAAATAGGTACAGAAAGCAATGTTTCCCATAGCTTCTGGCCCAAAAGGATGCCTCTAGGCAGAGCAGGAAAATGGGAGGACCACAGAGAATTCAGTGAGCCAAAGTGAGCTCAAAAAGAGGGTTGAAGGAGAAGGCTAGAGCATGCGATGTTGCACGTGTAGGGGCAATGAGGAGGAAATAGTTAAGAGGCTCCAGGGGAGGCAAGCTGTCTCCCAGGTCAGGCTTCAAGTGGACAGCACTGAGATTCACTCCAGTTCTTCTCAGTTGGCTTTCTATCCATGAATTCAGCCAACAGCAGGTTTCAGATACATAAGAAAGAGAAAATCACATTTACACTGAACCTGTGTGGACTTCCTTTCTTGTCATGCTCCCTATAGCAGTCAGTCAAATAATTTTTGGTGCAGCATTTACATTGTATTAGACCTAGTAAAGAATGTAAGGATGCTTTAACGTACTCAGAAGCAGATGTAGAGGTTATGTGCAAAGACTTTGCCATTCTGCGTTAAAGACTTGAGCATCCCTGGAGGAGTCCTGGAGCAAATCCATTGCAGATACTGAAGGATAACTGTGTGATGTGTTATGAGAATGCCACTTGGGATCCAGGCTTCTGCTAGTGCTGGGTATGGTTTGTCACTTGTGTGCTCACTTGAAGTCTGGTTAACTTCATGCTCTTCAAGTTGTAGCTTTTATCCCCTCTAAGTGAACGGACCCAGTTTTTCAAAACATTTGACTGAAACACAGCATAATAAGATACGTGCAGATGTGTTTTTTGGAGATCCTCTAACTACATTCATAAGCCAACATCCAAATTAAAAACAATGTGTTGGGGCCTGGTATGGTAGCCTAGCCACTGAAGTCCTCACCTTACACGTGCTGGGATCCCATATGGACGCCGATTTGTGTCCCAGTGACCCTGCTTCCCATCCAGCTTCCTACTTGTGACCTGGGAATGTAGTCAGGGACAGCCCAAAGCCTTGGGACTCAGCACCCATGTGAGAGATCCAGAGAGAGCTCCTGGCAACTGGCTTTGGATCGGCTCAGCTCCAGCCATTAAGGCCATTTGGGGAGTGAATCAGTGGAGGGAAAATCTTCCTCTCCCATCTCTCCTCCTCCCTGTATGCCTGACTTTCCAATTAAAAAATAATAAATCTTGAAAAAACCACACATTGAGCCCAACACAATACCCTTGTGGCTAAAATCCTCACCTTCCAGCTGCTCTGTTTCCCATCCAGCTCCCTGCTTGTGATCTGGGAAGGCAGTGGAGGATGGCCCAAGGTCTTGGGACCCTGCACCCACACGGGAGACTGAGAAGAAGTTCCTGACACCTAGCTTCAGATCAGCTCAGTTCTGGCCATTGCTTTCACTTGGAGAATATGCTAGCAGACAGAGGGTCTTTCTCTCTGTCTCTTCTCTCTGCAAATCTGACTTTCCAAGAAAAACTGAGTATATCTTTTAAAAAAACATTACTGGGAATCCCAACAGTCCTTAATATCCTCCCCCATTCCCTTCTCTCTCTCTCTCTCTCTCTCTGTGTGTGTGTGTGTGTTGTAAAGATTATCTTATCATTTATGTGGTATGACTCAGTGAAACAATAACAGACCCCACATTAAAACCAGAACTCTGCAGTGAGACCTTCAGTGCTAGAGATGTCACCACACTGAACAGGTTTTCTTTCTCTCTTCTTTAGCCCTGCACGAATTCCCCAGTGACATTTTCACCAATGAGGACAGAAGACAAGGCGCTGTAGTCCTTCATGTGCTCTGTGTAAGTACACTCCTTGTGCCTCTGCCTGGAGGGTCAGTGGGCAGAAGAGGGTTGGGCGAAGGTGCCGATGGAGGAGTCTCCCCTCCTTCCCATTCACAGGTCTGCAGAGGCTCTCTGAGCCCTGCAGGTGGTGACCTCCAAGTGGATCATCTTTTAAAGGACACAGGTTCCCAAGCTGGGAGACATCTGTGTGCGTTGTTTCTGTTGTGCACATGTGGGCTCTAACATCAGAGTTGTTGGAGATCCTTTTCCTACCCAGCCTCTCTAAATTACCACAGGACTTCTCCTTCCTTGATTTGTTCTGCTACGTGTCACCTGACATTTCATTTGTTGTTTGCTTATTTTCTGTTGTCATCATGCGTAAGCCCTGTGAGGGCAAGGATGTTGTTTGGGGCATGGCTTTGTTCCATGACCCACTGTTGGCACATGGGAGATGCAGATATATGTAAATGGCGGACTACAGTAATGGAACCAGTGTCTGGCACTTAGTATGTGATCAAGAAAAGCTTGTTTCCTTCCCTGCTTGTCTCTACTGTCTCATAGTGTTCTAGCATCTTTCTCTACAGGCCAGCGGATCTAGGTCTTTGAGTTTGCTTGTGCCTGCTTACAGAATATTGGGAAGTCATGTGGTGACGTCTGTATAAGAGAGCAGGAGAGGGGAGTGGGACCAGTAGCTCCCAGGCAACATCTGTGTTAGGTACACCACCACCTTCCAGACAATATGGAACTTGCTCCCCTAGAAGGATCTTCATTCCATTCTGGTTATGTATTGCTACAAAGCAAACTTCCAGAATGTACTGTTACAACCAGCTGATCACAATCTGATTTTTGTTCATGGGCTCTTTGTTTTAAACTCATGGGAATGTGTGCCTTGGAATCTGGTGTCTTGGATGGGACAACTCTGATGATTGGTAGTCACACAGATATCAAGGAAGGGGGAACAGGAGCCACCAGCACAGGGCAGTTTCCTTCTTTTTGTAAAGATTTATTTATTTGTACTGGAAGGGCAGATTTACAGAGAGAAAGAGAGATAGAAAGATCCTTCTGTCTATTGGTTCACTCCACAAATGGCTTCATTCACAGGAACTGAGCCAGTTGGAGCCAGGAGCTTCTTCAAGGTCTCCCACGCACGTGCAGGGTCCCAAGGCTTTGGGCCATCCTCTGCTCCACTTCTGGATGGGAAGCAGCTGACCCAACACATCAGCCTCAGGGAGGTCTTCTTCTAAGAGGGATTCTGCTCTCCTATGTGTTTTGCCTGAAGTGTGGTAGCTAAAGGATTGGCTCTTCAGCTGTGACTCTCAGCAAGATACTGCTGTGTAACCTGTCCAGCTTGGCAGCCTTGGGGAGTAGGTTATCCATGTGGCCGCCTGGGACTCAATAAGCAAGAGTTATAACTGTCAAAGAAGGAAGAAACCACATGGCCCCTGGTGACTTGTCTGGAAGTCACACAGTGCCATTTCCTGCATGTATCAGTGCAATCATAAGCCCATTACAGTCCAAGGCAGCTTAATGTTTTAGTGCATGCCTGGAGAAGGTCAGAAGGCATGGCCTGGGCTCCGGAGTCTGCCCAGACATGACTGGCGGCCCACATCTATCAGCTGGTTGGCCTGATATTGTGGGTGGCTGCAAGCAAACGTCAACCTCTCTGGACCCGTTAGTGTCCCCTCTGCTTGATTCCCTTTCTGACGATAACAGCTGGCTCCTCAGCACTTCTCCCCGCCACCACTCCCCAAAGCAGACATGAAAAATGCCTTTGAAGCCAAGACACTGTCTGCAGACACGGGAAACCCAAGCAGAGGCTGCACCCCTCCTGGTGCTCTCTGATCTTGGGGATTGTCACCTACACTGAGCAGTTAGCACAGATGCCACCAGAGAGGCTCCACTGTCACAAGGTTGAGGAGCCCCAGGCGCTGGGCGGGATCCAGAACTCCACAGGAGCCAGGAATAGCCCAGTGCTTCCACAACTAAGATGAGAGGTTTCTACTCTCGGCCCAAACAGCAAGCTTTCCTCCTCCTGGAGCAGTGCTGCTGGCTGCCTGCAGCTGTTTTGGCCTCTGCTGTCTGCAGTAGGTCACTTCCAGGTTAGCATAAGGACCAAATGGACAAACCAAGTGATATCAGTAGAGACTTAAAGAGGGTGGATATAACTGTATAGCTCAGCACTTCGTAGTCAGGGTTGTCCAGTGTCACTATTGACCCCAGCCCTCATCCCTGTACTTTAGAATCCACAGGCAAGAAGTTTGGGTTCCAATGTCCATGACCATGCCTCCAATATCACAGCCTAGGCACATGGTTGAACCCTACATTGTGAACCCAAATACCCCTGTTCCTGTTTGTCAGTCCCATGAAGGATTCTTCTCTCCCCATTGTCCAGGGTTGGATCAAGTAGCCAGAACAGAGGGCATCTTGTCTACATGGAACATCCAAATGTCGGGGTGGGTGGCATCTTCCGTTATGCTACGCATTAGAACCAAGGGTTCCCAATAGGATGTAGGCCTCACGAGAAAAGCTCCTTTATACCATCTCTAGTACATTGAACATCCAAAGCTACACAGCCACTAGTCAGTGCTCACCAGCTCATGTCACTCACTGTATTTAGCATGCTCAGGAATTGCTGTGTGGCCATCATTTGATATAAGGAGAATGGATGCATGTAGCAGCAGACATTGGCATTTTAATGGCCCACGGGAAATAGATGGATACATGGGTCAAAGCAGAAGGAAGGTAAACATTGACTTCGTGCATGTGGACATTTGGAAAACACTGGCCTGGGCCCTTCTGGGGGTCCGAGATGCAGTTCATTCTGAGAGAACTCATCCTGTCCTGTAAGGAGACCCTCTCAGGTCCAGCATGTGCCTCACCCTGAGTTCTGAGCACAGTCTACACTGCCTGCCATGGGGGCCCAGAGGATGCACAGGCAGGTGTCAAGGTGAGGTGCTGTTCAGGAAGGGCAGGTGAGCTATTTCCAGTCATTCTGCCACAGAGAAGGGTGGCAAATCCCAGGCAGGAATGGGAAGCCCAGTGGTCACAGATGAAGATGTGAGTGTGCAGGGCCTCTGGAGGGACAGAGGACGAAGGGTGTGGAGGGTGGGTGGTGAGAGAACATGAGGATGGAGAGGCAGTCGGGCTCAAGTGGTCATCACAAGGGGGCTTGGCTGCAATTTGACAAATGAGGAAGAAGAACCCTGCCTAGAGTTTGGGCTGATGAAGATGGAAGCTAGGCCAGAGGTGGCACCAGAGCGAGCTACCTGCAAGTTAACAAAGACCTGGGCAGAACATAGACAGGGCTTTAGGGCCAATTGGGGAGGAGCTCTCAGAGTCCCAGGCTCTCCATGGAGCACCCTGGGCCCTGGGTAGGCAGGAGAGTCCATACAGAAGTGAATGTGGGACTGAGCCTCACCCAGCCACCTCCAGGTCCCTGAAGAGGTGGGACCACCTCATCTAGGCAGGACAGGACAATCTTTTGTCTGAAGAGTTTGGACATCTTGTTAAACCCTTTTCCTGGGCTACCTCAGAAGGTCACAGGGCTGGTCTTCCATGGGATTAATTGAACAAGGTCATAAACGTGAAGCACAGTATCAGATCCCTGCCAGTGCTACTATGAAATCTGGTCAACCCCAGAACTTAGCTCTAAACCTGGACTTGCCCCATTTCACTGGAGCCCCCATGAGTTTGCTTGTCTCGAAGAACAGGCAGCCTCTGGCCTCAGTCAGGGGCAGGGCTGGGGAACAAAGCTGATCCTGTGGATTAGGCAGTGTCAGATCTCAGATACCAAAGCTGACTGCTCTCTTTGTCTTGCGTGTAAACTTTACTCTCTTTTGTGTGTTCTTTGTGGGACTCCAACAACCATTGCTGGCTCAACTTTCTAAACATGATAGCTGTAATTTTTCCCTCTTGAATCTTTGGGCTTCTGTGGATTGCAGAAACTGTAAATCCCAAGCTTGTGTGTTTTTAACTAAGCTTTCTCTTCCTTGTGACTGTTCTTCATGTATGAGTTGCTCACTGGCAGGGAAATTCATATCTTGACCATTTTGTCCACAAGAAACATCCCCAAGAAAACACCTGTCTTAGAGCCTGCATTACAGTGATGAAATCTACATCCTGTCCATTCGTTACTTTGCCGCAAAGGTCGGGATGGGAAGTTTGTGCAAAGTTGTTTATTATTGTGTATGACATGCAAAGCTGAATCTTTGAAATTATCAGCCAAAATGTAAATTTTTCTCTTGTCATAAAAGAAGCTTTAAGTAGTAATCAGTACTTGGAATTCTTTCTAAGAGTAGGTGTGAGCAGCTGTCTATGCTTAATAGATCTAACTTTACAGCAGGAATAAACACCCAGTGCTGTGGCCCCCAGATTATTCCAAACCTTCTGGCCTTCCTTTGCCACTTGCATGTAATTCCTCTCTTCCTATAGATGGATAACGTGTATGTGTCAGGTGTAAAGCACAGTAGAGTCACACCAGAAAGTGATTCTCTAGATCTTACTGATGCTAATTCTTTTTGGAAAAAGAACTATTGACTGGCCCAGCCACCCACACCTGTTAATGGCTTTGCCCAGGGAAGAAAAAGCCAAAAGGAACATGCTTCTGATGAGCATCTTGTTCAAAAACACACTCATGCTGTGAGAGGCCCCAAGATTAACTCAAGAATTTATGTTAAAAGAACCTTTTGCTTCACCAAGCTGTGGTGGTGGTTGACATCGGGGCCCCCTGAATCTTCCCAGAACAGCAGAAGGCATGGGTGTGTTTAGGGGCAGTAGGGAGCTGTGGGAGGTTCCATGGCAGCTGACTTAAGCCCACTGTGTCCAGTGGCAGACTCTCTTGTTCCCCGTCTCCTGCTGGTGTCCTCACTCAGGGTACACACATTAAGAAGCAAGCCTTATCTACATATGGTGAGTCATTTGGGAAACCCAGAAATGTTTCTTTTTTCTTTAAAAAAAGATCATTTATTTGAAAGACAGAGTTACAGAGGGAAAGGGGGAGGCACACACAGAGAGCTGATTCACTCTTCCAAACACTTGCAACAGTGAGGGCTGGACTAGGTAGACATCAGGAGCCAGATG